CCAGTGTGTCACAGGTTTTGTCCATATAATTTCATATTTCTTGGAGGTTTCATTCATTTTTTAAAATTCTTTTTTTTTTTTCTTTATTTTTTTCTGCCTGTGTTGATTTAAAGGAATGGTTCATTTGAGTTCTGGGATTCTTTCCTCACCTTGATCTATTCTGTTATTGATACTTCTAACTGCCTTCTGAAATTTCTGTAGTGAATTTTTCATTTCCAAAACTTTAGTTTTGTTTTTTCTTAAAATGACTATGAAGTCTTTCCACTCTTGGATCGTTTTATTGTTGTTACTGGATTGGGCTTTAATGTCCTGTATTTTGGTAAGCTTCCTTGCTATCCAGATTCTGAATTCCTTGTCTGTCCTTTCAGTTTTTCAGCATGGTTAAGAACCACGGCTGTACAGCTATTTGGAGGTAAGAAAACACTTTGGCTTTTAGAGTTGCAGAGTTCTTGAGCTGGTTTTTTATCATCTGTGTGGGCTGATGTTCCATTAATGATTGAAGTTCTCCTGCAGCTAGGATTCCAGACATCGGTAGGGAGAGTGGGCCACTCTATTTTACTCACCCCTTCTGTAGAAGCTCTATTTTACTCACCACATCTGTTTTACTTACCCCTTCCGTAGGTGGTGCTCAGTGCCAGAAATAAGCCGTGGTGCTGGCAACCCCTTGCAGTGTTCTTAGCTTCTTCTCCTTTCATCCTGGGGTCTGCTTCTTTTCTCTGTACATGCTCAATGCCTTCTTTCTGAAGATAGATGTATTCAGAATGTGCTGGTGTACTTGATGGTCTGGTCTGTCTTGGTGGGAGAAGCTCTTCTGGTTGCATCTAGTCAGCTATTTTGGCTCTTCCCTGTACACTCCTTTTCCATCTCTACCACTTTCTAGCTATGTAAAGTCAATAAAGTCACTTCAACTCTGTCAGCTTGTATTCCTACATTTCTAAAGTGGAAATAATAATACTACTTCATAGCATCGATTTGAGAATTAGAATTTATGAAAACACACACATAGCACATTGTTAAGAGCTTATATAATTTTCAAAAATGTTAAAAAAACATGATTCTCATACAACTGTGGAATAGACATGTATCAAGATTGAACTCACTGATAAGGATAATCAAACTGATTCAAAGAGCATTTGAGGAACTTTAGTTTTATTTTGTCTTTGTTCTGAACTGTCTCTTAAGACAATAGGTTCAATTTTAATAAAAGATCAGGAAGAGAAGAGAGCCATGAGAGTCAACGAATAATAAAAAATTCAACAAAATGAAACAAAGTTTGCATCTGCCTAGAGGGGCTCAAGGAATAGCATTCATTTATTCAAGGCCATATCTGGCAATGTGTCTCAGGGCCTGAAATACTAGTCATGCTGTTTGCCAATCACACACATACAACTGTGTAGTCTTTCTTGATAGGAGTGTTGAACTTAATCCGACCTGAGGAATGTAAACTGTGTGAGCAAAGACAAGATTAAAAAAGCTCTCAGGAACTTAAGGATGGTAGATGTAACTTCCTGGTGATGTGTGAATAGCACTATATTTGGCATATGAAGAGCCAGATGTAAAAGCTGACTGTCGCTTGGCAGCAGCGATGATATTGGACAAATTGTATAAGTTTTCAGGGTATGATTTCCTTCATCAGCAACATGGGAAGAATAATACCTACACCACAGAGTTGCAATAAGAATTATGTAAAAGATGGTTTGGGAAAGCAGTATTTTATGAAGGATTACTGTAAAGGGAACTCTATCTGGTTTTCTTGACCTTGCCTTCTGCTGGCCAGGAGATGTCTTGTAAACTAGTGTGGGCAATTTCTCTCACCTAGCTTTCAGACCACAGTGATTGAAGCTTAGAAGTAGCTTGTCATTTTCATGCGTAGGGTAGTTCCTTATGTTCTTCATCTCTGTGCTCTGGGATGCTGTACTGCTTTTTAATTTAAATATCACTAAGAAAAGTCTCAAGGAGCCCTTATGCAGAAGCTAGAACAGATTTCTGCCTATACCTGTAATTAGCTGTTTTACTACTTTGTAAAAAATATCAGGCCCAACACATCTGAACTGTGATGGGATGTTTAGAGGTGTATTATTTTATGAAAACCTTGACAGCAGTATTTCAAGCACATATTGCATGTACTTTCACCTTTTACTTTCATCTAGTGGAAAGAAGCCTATTAGGATCCACAGAGGAGAATGATTTACACATTTTAGTGAAGACCCCATTTATAACATTCACAAAGCTAGATCCAGTTAGGTTGTTATTTTATTTTACATACTTTTATTCTGCCTCATTCCACAAAGAATTTGAAGAAATTAGGGGAAAGAGTGAATTGAGAGGTAGTTTATTTCTTAGAAAGATAGCAAAATTGTAGTGAAACTAGCTCTAAGGATAAATTTAATTGTAATCTTCAAGTAGAATTTATGTGAGAAGATACGTGTTATAGTGGCTGTGTCCACACAGGGAAACTTAAATGAAGAATTTGAGTATAATTCAAAATGCTAAGGAGAGCTCCTTTTGCGTCAATAGCATCGACCTATAAATGTATGTGTATGTATATTATTCACTCAAACTCATCCCTTTTATGGTTTAACTTGAATTACCTGAATTTCATGATTGTCCTGTTTACTTTGTTCTGAGCAGTTTGTTGATGGATAAATAACAACAAATTTTGTCATGCATTTTTTTTCAGGAATATTTCATCAGCACATAACTAAATTATGAGATTTGTCAGTCAATAAATTCTTGAACAGAACTGTCTAATTTCCTTACTGTCATGTATTTCTTAGGCAGATATTTTTTGATGAAATAGTACATCCTGCTTTACATATATAAAAACCAGTCTGATGTCACATCGTTTGAGTAGATAACTGTATCTTCCCTTATTCATATAATCAAGGAATCCATTTTTATTTATTCTTTGGACATTTTATCATCTTTAGAACAAAGTTTAATCTAGAAACAGTAAAATTGAGGAGAAAATTGATTAAGTTCAGATATTTTTCACTTTTTATTATTTTATTCCAACTAAGTTTGGAATCAGCAGAGAAAGTCGCCATTCACTAAATACTTTTCATGAAGTAGGACATATTTGAAGTCTTTTCTCCAATATCTGAGGTACATATACAGTGCTTATAGAAATTTCTTCCACCAGGTACCCTAAATCACCTCTCTCAAGTTCAAAGTTTCACAAATCTTTAGGGCAGGGGCAAAATGCCACCAGTCTGTTTGCTAAAACATAACAAGAGTAACCTTTGCTCCAGTTCCCAACAAATTTCTCATCTCTGTCTGAGACCACCTCATCCTCGACCCTACTGCCCATATTGCTGTCAGGCTTTTGGTGAAAGCCGTTCAACACGTCTTTAGGAAGTTCCAAAATTTGCACGTTTTCCTGTCTTTTTCTGAACCCTCCAAACTGTTCCAACCTCTACCTGTTACCAGTTCCAAGGTTGCTTCCACATTTTCAGGTATGTTTTCAGCAGTGCCCCACTCTATTGGTACCAATTTACTGTATTAGTCCGTTTTCATGCTACTGATAAAGACATACACAAAACTGGGCAATTTACAAAAAAAGAGGTTTAATTGGACTTACATTTCCATGTGACTGGGGAAGTCCCACAACCACGGTGGAAGGCCATGAGGAGCAAGTCACATCTTACATGGATGGCAGCAGGCAAAGAGAGATACTGGGCAGGAAAACTCCCCGTTATAATACATCAGATCTTATGAGACTTATTTGCTGTCATGAGAACTGTACAGGAAAGACCTGCTTGAATGATTCAATTATATCCCACCAGGTCTCTCCCACAACATGTGGGAATTCGAGATGAGATTGGGGACACTGCCAAACCATATCAAATCTGTAGATTGCTTTAGGCAATATGATCATGTTAACAATATTCATTCTTTCAATTCATAATCATGGATTTTTTTTTATTTGTTTGTGTCATCTGTGATTTCTTTTATAAGTACTTTGTAGTGTCCCTTGTAGAGATCTTTCACCTCCTTGTTTAAATGTATTCTTAGAGTGTTTTTTTTTTTTTTTTGTAACTAATGAAATTAAGATGAGTTCTCAATTTAGCTCTCAGCTTGCATGGAATTAATGTATAGAAATGCTACTCATTTTTTTTTACATTTATTTTGTATCCTAAAACTTAGTGAATTCATTTATCAAATTTAGGAGATAGCATCTTTAGGATTTTCTAGGTATAAGATTATATCATCAGCCAATAGAGATAACTTGAGTTTTTCCTTTCTGATTTTCATGCCTTTTATTTCTTACTCTTGCCTGATTTCTCTGGCTGGGACTTCTAGTACTATGTTGTATAGGCATGGTGAAATGAACATTTCGTACCTTTTACCTTTTCATATTTACTATAATGTTGGCTGTGGGTTTGTCATATATAGCTTTCATTTTATTTAGGTATGTTTCTTCTATGCCTAGTTTGTTGAGGGTTTTAACATGAAGAGATGCTGGATTTTATCAAATGTTTTTCCACCTGTTTTGAGATGATTGTGTGGTTATTGTTTTTATTTCTGTTTATGCAATGATTTGCACTTATTTGCACTTATTGATTTTCATAGGTTTAATCATTCTTGTATCCCTGTAATACAACTCATGTCATCATGGTGTATTATCATTTTGATCTGGTGTTAGATTTGGTTTGCTAGTATTTTGTTGAAGATTTTTGCATTTATGTTTAATAGGGATATTAGTCTGAGTTTTTGGTTTTTTTTTTGTTGTTGTTTTCTTGCCTGGCTTTCGTGTCAGTGTGATACTGGCATCATAGAATGAGTTAGGGAGGAATTACTCCTCAAACACTTGAAATAGTTTGGGTAGGATTGGTACCAGTTCTTCTTTGTATTTCTGGTAGAATTTGGCTATAAATCCAGCTATTTCTAGACTTTTTTGGTTGAGTTTGTTTTTTTTGTTTTTTTTTTTTTTTTGAGATAGAATCGTGCTCTGTCACCCAGTCTGAAGTGCAGTGGCATGGTCTGGGCTCACCGCAACCTCTATCTCCCAGGTTAAGGAGATTCTCCTGTCTCAGCCTTCTGAGTATCTGGGATTACAGGTGAGTGCCACCATGACCAGCTAATTTTTGTATTTTTGGTGGAGACAAGGCTTTGACATGTTGGCAAAGCTGGTCTTGAACTCCTGACCTTAGGTGATCCTCCTGCCTTGGCCTCCCAAAGTGCTGAGATTACAGGTGTGAGCCACTGCACCCAGCCTTGTTGAGGTATTTTTATTACTGTTTAAGTATCACTGCTTATTATTGTTTTGTTCAGGATTTCTATTATTTCCTGTTTCAATATTGGGAGATTGCATATTTCCAGAAATATATTCATTTTCTCTGGGTTTTCTAATTTGTGGTCATAGAGATATTCATAGTAGTTTCTCATAATCTTTAATATTTCTGTGGTATCAGTGGTAATGTCTCCTTTCTCATTCAAATTATGCCTATTTGAATCTATTCTTTTTTTGGTTAATCTTGCTTGCAATCTGTCAGTTTTATCTTTTCAAAAGAAAACTATTTTTCATTTCATTGATTCCTTGGATTTTTTTTTTCTTTTTTCAATTTTATTTAGTTCTGCTCTGATTTTTGTTACTTCTTTCCTACTGCTAGCTTTGGCTTTGGTTTGTTCTTGTTTTTCTATTTCCGTGAGGTACAATATTACATTATTAATTTGTCAAATTTTTATGTTGTTGATATGGTCAGTCATTCAGTACTATGAACTTCTCTCTTAGCACTGCTTTGTATATATCTCAGTTTTTTTTTTTTTTGGTATGTTATGTCTCTGTTTTCATTCATTTAAAAAATTAATTTTCTTCTTAATTTCATCATTGACCCAAATATCATTCAGGAATAGGTTTTAAATTTTTTCATATATTTATATTGTTTTGACAGTTTTTCTTGGAATTGATTTCTAGTTTTAATCTACTGTAGGCCAAGAAGATACTTAATACAATTTTGGTTTTTAAAAATGCATTGTGACTTGTTTTGTGACCTAACTTATGGTCTACCAGGGAAAATGTTGCATGAGCTGATAAAAATCCTCTTGATTATTGATAACTTGTTTGCCTTTGGAAAGTTATTTAACATCTAATTATCTGTCTATTAAATAAATATGTTGCATGAAATAAGGAAATTTTTTATTCTAGCATGTGTTGAATCTGTGCAATGAAAGACAGCAGGAGTTTTCAGTCAAAAAGAGTGCCATTCTAGCTCTTTAATTTCCCTATTTATAAAATGGGACTAATATTAGTTAAGTGGCACATGTTAGAAGTACCTTTTTTCTCTTTTCTTTTAATCAGTAGTTCTTTCATTTGAGAATTAATCATATACTTCTCTAAACTATCTCTTCTAAAATTTGAGAGAGAAACCTAGACTAGAATCCAGCTTAAAGAAATTCTTACATATTTTAGTTTCGGTCATGTGATCTTACTACTCTGAGGCTCTATTTTTTATTTTGTGAAAATATTTAGCTCTAGGGTTGTTGTAAGATTTGAAGGAAATAATGTATACCAAAATCCTAGCGAAGTACCTGTAACATGGTAGAATCTAAAAATATATTGATATATATATATATTCTCTTTTCCTTTATTCCTTAAATAAAAAGTAGTGAAATATTAGCCTCTCTATATATTTTATTCCAAGGAGAAATGTAGGTTAGTAAGTAATCTTTTGGCTAGAATTATCAAGATAACTGGTTATGTGATATTTATTTCTGGATTCAATAATTACTAAATTTTTAGGCAGAGTCAGTATCTTGCTAATGTTTTATGGTAACCAGAAGATTTCTAACTTTCACATTTGTGAGAGAAAACAGCTCTAAGGACAATGAAAAAGATTTCCTAAGCGTAACTGGCAACCCTCAAACCTTTGCAGTATATATTGTTTAAAGAAAGTACAGTTTGTATTTTAATGGCAATAATGATTTTTAAACCAGGTAAAAATATTCTGGAGTACTGTGTAAAAGAAAACACACACACACACACTTTGGCTGCAGGAGTGCAGCTAGCTTGATTTTGGAGCCATTACAATCAGTGACCCACTCAAGACTCTCTCAGCCTTCTCTTTTCCATAGCATCCAATTTTCTGCCTCTTAGTCCTGAGGTTATCTTAAGTGAATTGCTGAAGAGAGAACAAAGGGTCCATCCCATAATATGCCTAGCATGCTGAGGCCAGGTTAAATGAGATTCCTAACACTTTTGTGTTTCAAACCCTGATTTATTTCATAGAGGGCTGTAATTCTCTCAGGCAAGGCCAAGAGCATCTTGAAATCCTGGCCAAAGTGCTTCCTTCACCTAACTTTTCTAGTTCAGGAACTGGGAGGTTCAAACCATACAATTTTAAGATTTTTATCACTTCAGTCTCTGGCTATTGTAATAAGTCCTAACCCCTCTCTTTCCATCTAATCTCTCTCTGCCACCAGTTTTCCTCTCCAATTTTGACTGCCTTCAGATTAATCTTCCTAAAATAGCTCTTGAGTAAAACGTTACCTTGTTTTAAAACTCTTTACTTTCTGTTTAACAAAATATAAACTCTACAAAGTGGCAAAATCTGACTCCAAGCTACCTGCCTAAATTTTACCCTCATTGTGTTCTTCCAGGATCCCGACATACTAACCAAATGTAATTTTGGGGGAGCTTGCCAAATCTCAGTGTCACTGCCAGAAACAGGGGATAGCCCCATTGATTTTGAGTTTCAAAGACTTTTCTTTAGCACTTTCTCTAGTACATGGGAATCCTTTTAATTTTATGCTGAAAAACATATTTATTTCATGCATCTTCAAGATATTTTACCCATCCTGTTATGCTCATGAATTTATTCCTCTGAACTTTAAAGCAAAAGCTGTTGATCCTTATAAAAGCTTTCTGTTTTCTCCCCAAACACTCACCTTCCCTGTTATAATTGGAATCAAGGTAGTTATCAACTTTCCTGAAAGTAAATTAAAGTGGAAAACTCAGGAAGGAAAACATTTACATGCATAAACTTATTTCTAAAAAATGTTATCTAGGTACCCATTAATTATCTTATTTAATCTTGAAAACAAACCCTATGAAGTATCATTAAAATATTTTAGAGATAAAGAAACTGGGGAAATTAACTTACTTGTCCAAATGTACACAACTATTTAGCAGTGAAACCAGCATCTAAAAGAGGTCTCCATTCCCATATTTCATGGTTTGGGCTTTCATTGAAAGACATTGATAGTTTCTGATCATGAATCACATAAATAATGCCTCTGTAGCGTTAAGCTGAATGCCTTCGAGGAAAGAAATGTGATTCCAGAATTATGTTCCCTGGAAGTTATAGTTACTAGTTTACTGAAAAGGAGAAGGGTATGGATATTGGCAATGTTACTAATCCTAATTCGCTGAAGTGGACACTCATAAAATGTTGATGACTCATTGTAGACATAGTCTGAGGCTGGACAGAAGAAAAGAGCGGGGTTTAGTTAGAAATGGCCCTCTTGAGTACTCTCAGTGAGTTCATAGCTATTGAGGTGATTGAAATGGAAAGTTAAGTGGAGTGGCAGACGAAGACCATACAAATACCAACTAGGACTTACATGATGTTGGCTTAACTGCAGGATGCTTAGTCCAGTAGCTTCAAGACAAGCATAGACTAAGGTAGGAACATGTGTGCAAAGTATGTCAGAAAGGCCTTAAGGAAATTTTTGCAAAATTCTCAATATATAAGATATAAAGTAACAAGTAGTTGAATTACCTAGTAGCATTTATTTGATTGTCAGGCAAAATATATATATATATATAATGAAATAAAAGTTGAACTGGCTAAATGTGTATTTTATTATGGATTATTCATGTCTTGATTTTTTTTAAACAAAATATGAGGTTCCCCAGAAACGTGGTCTTAATGGGATCAAATGACAGTATAGTGGTACAGTGGACAGTGTATTAGTCCATTCTCACACTGCTATATATATTAAAAAATACCTGAGACTGGGTAATTTACAAAGAAAAGAGGATTAATTGGCTCATGGTTCTGCCGGTTATACAGGAAGCATGACAGCTTCTGGGGAACCCTCAGGAAGCTTTCAATCATGATGAAAGGTGAAGGGGGAGCAGATACATCTTACATGACAGGAGCAGGAGGAAGAGGAGAGAAGAAGACGTGCTACACACTTTTAAACAACCAGATCTCATGAAAACTTTATCACAAGAATAGCACCAAAGGTGAAATCTGCCACCATGATCCAATCACTTTCCACCATGGCCCCCTTTGGGGGTTACAATTAAACATGAGATTTGGGCAGGGACACAGATTCCAACTGTATTATTCTGTCCCTGGCTCCTCCCAAATCTCATGTGCTTCTCACATTGCAAAATACAATCATGTCTTCCCAACAGTCCCCAAAAGTCTTAACTTTTTCCAGCATTAACTTAAAAGTTCAGAGTGTAAATTCTCATCTGAGACAAGGCAAGTCCCTTCTGCCTATGAGCCTGTAAAATCAAATACAAGTTAGTTACTTCCAGAATACAGTGGGGTTACTTACAGGCATTGTGTAAATACTCCCATTTCAAAAGAAAGAAACTGGCCAATAGAAAGGGACCAAAGGGCCATGCAAGTCTGAAACCTAGCAGGGCAGTCATTAAATTTTTAAGCTCCAAAATAATTTCTTTTGACTCCATGTCTCACATTCAGAGCATACCGATCCAATGAGTGTACTCTCAAGACCTTGAGCATCTCCACCCCTGTGGTTCTGCAGGGCTCAATTCCCAAGACTGCTTTCGAGGGCTGGTGTTGAGTGCCTGAAGCTTTTCCACTGTAGGTTGCAAGCTGTTGGTAGATCTACCATTCTTGGGTCTGGAGGATGGTGTCCCTCTTCTCACAGCTGCAATAGGCAGTGCCCCAGTGGGGACTCTGTGTGGGAGCCTTAACCTCACATTTTTTCTCCACATTGCCCTAGTAGAGGTTCTTCATGTGTGCTCCACTCCTATAGTAGGCTTGCCTGGACAGCCAGGCTTTTCCATATATCCTGTGAAATCTAGGTGGAGGCTCCTAAACTTCAACTCTTGTACTCTGTGCATGGGCAGGCTTAACACCATGTGGAAACACCGAAGGTTTATGGCTTGCAATCCCTGAAGCAGCTGCGCAAGCTGTCTATGGGGCCTTTTTAGCCACAGCAGAAGGCGGAATGGCTGGGATGCAGGGAGCATTGCCCTGAAATTGTGCAGGGCTGTGGGGCACTGGGTCTGGCCCAGGAAACCATTCTTCCCTTCAAGGCCACCAGGTGTGTGATGGGAGGGGCTGCCTCAAAGGTCTCTGAAATGCCTTCAAGGTATTTTTCCCTTATCTTGGCTATTAGCAATTGTATTTCTTTTAGTTATGCAAATATATGCAGCCTACTTGAATTCCTCCTCTGAAAATGGGTTTTTCTTTTCTAACACATGGCCAGGCTGCAATTTTTTTTTTGAAATTTTTCTGCTCTGCTTCCTTTGTAAATATAAATTTTAGTTTCAGATCACTTTCTTACTCATGTATATAAGCACAGGCTATTAGAAGCAGTCAGGCAAAATCTTGAACACTTTCTGGCTTAGAAATTTCTTCCACCAGATACCCTAAATCATCATTTTCAAGTTCAAAGTTTCACAGATTCCTAGGGCAGTGGCACAATACAGCCAATTTCTTTGCTAAGAAACAAAAGAGTCTTTTGCTCCACTTCCCAATAACTTTCTGATTTTCCTGTAAGACCTCATCAGCATGACTTTTACTGTCCATATCACTACCAGCATTTTGGTCATAGCCATTTAACAAGTCTCTAGAAAGTTCCATATTTTTCCTCATTCCCTGTCTTCTTCTGAGCCCTCCATGCTCCTCCAACCTCTGCCTATTACCCACTTTCAAAGCTGCTTTCACATTTTCAGGTATCTTTATAGCAATACCCCACTACTTGGTGCAAATTTTCTGTATTAGTCCATTCTTGCACTGCTATAAATAAATAATGTAGACTGGGTAAGGAAAAGACGTCTAATTAGCTTGCTGTTTTGCCAGCTATACAGGAAGCATAGTGGCTTCTCGGGAATCTTAGGAAATATTCAGTCATTTTAGAAAGTGAAGGGAAAGCAGGCACATCTTCAAGGCAGAGCGTGAGGAAGAGGAAACAATGGGGAGGTGCTGCACCCTTTTAAACAACCAGGTCTTATGAGAACTCTATCACAGAAACATCACCAAAGGGGGAAATCTACCCCCATTATCCAATCACCTCTCACCTGGCCTGATCTCCAACATTGGGGATTATAATTCAACATGAAGTTTGGGTGGGGACACAGATCAAAACCATACTAGACAGTAAGAGGGTTTTAGAGTCAGACAGACCCAGTTTATATCCTAGTTTACCTTTGAATAATCAGTTAATCTTGAGGAATTTACTGAACCTCTTGGAGGCTCACCTGAAAAACAAATAATAGTATTTGTAAGAGTTATTGCTGAGTTTAAAATGAAGAAACTGAGGCCAGTATAAGAAAATTAAATGCCAATTTATTCAGCTCCTGGGTGAGGTTCTATGGTCCGGAGAAAGGGGCCAGAGAAGTCTAGCTGACTTCCTGGGGCAGGGGGGTTTTATGGCTAGGAGGAATGAGCAACAGCTGGGTGCTCTGATTGTGTCCAGGGGAGCGGGATTGAGATGGGGTAGGCCGCTGTTTGTTGGCAGGTTGTTGGGTGGGTTTTCTGGTGCAAGAGCCTGCCAGGGTTGCATGAGCTGGAGCCTTCCAGGGGAGCCATGTGGCAGAGCTAGGTGCCGAGTGCAGAGCCTGGTGCCGGGTGCAGACTCAGGTGCTGAGTGCAGAGGTCGGTGTGTCTGGCCTCCTGGAGAGGCAACCGGCCTTACATTTCAACCCTTTTGATGATATAGGATGCCGCTTCTTTCTGGCTACTTCCTGCTGAATAGGAGCAGAGTGAGGGAGAAGGGTCAGTTGGCTGGTGCCTCGGTTGGGAGTCGGAAATAGGGGTGAAATAGCATCTGGTTTACAGCCACCCTGGAAATTTTCTTCATGTGGGCCTGTAAAAACTTGAGGGAAAAAGGGGCTAGCATTAACAGAAGACAAACTACGATAATGTGAGTGGTAATAGGGGTTAGCCAGGTTAGCATGGGGGATTGCCACCAGTTAAGAGGTGAGACTGATGCATTCTGCTTCTTGCGGAGGTCTTCTTGGAGGCAATAGAGAGTGTTGACATTTTCTTCTACAAGGCCTGTTTCATTAATATAATTGCAGCACTGCTCCTGAAGAAACAGACAGGTACCTCCCTTTTCTGCTGTTAGCAGGTCAAGGGCCTGTAGGTTCTGGAGAGTTACCTGTGCCAGTGACGTGATTTGTCACTGGAGGGAGGCCAGGGAGGTGGCCGACGCTTTGATAGCCACGTGAAGCTTGTCCTCTAGTTGAGTGGCTGTGGTGACACTGTAGCCTAGGGTGCCGCTTCCCAGCCCAGCTGCCACCAGAGAGGATGCTAGAGAGAGACCGACAACCATTGGGAGAAAGACTGCTTGTCTGTCTCGGCGATTAGGGGAAGGTGGAAGGAGGGATAGAAGTTCAGCCTGTCTGTATACCTCTAACTGCGGGCCCAAAGTGACAGGCACACAAGGGAAAGGGAAGGAGACATTAATAACTTTGGTTAAGGTTCCATTACACCAGAAGTATTCTCCTGGAGGCGCATAGAGGGAGGATTTTACTTTTGCTGTGGTGTTACAGCTGGGACTGGAGCCACTGGCCATCTTATAGCAGAGAGAGAAATTTTGAGAGTGCACTTTGAACAAGGGGATATTTGTTAAGGTGGTGCCGGGCCCCATAGGTGATTGTGACAGATTGAACCCGGATCTGAGGAGAACTGCTGCCAAGCGGGGGTTGAGGCGAAGAGTCAGGGCAGAACGTGGCGTCAATTAGGAGTGGCAGTAGGAGGTGAGTGGATGATGAGCTTGAGTGTGGGGGGCCAGTGAGCTGGAAAGTAGCCCCACCATCTGGAGAATTTCCCATCCTAAACAGGGGACTGGGCATGAGGGTATGATTAAAAAGGGTGGGTAAAGGGGTGTCCCTCAAGGACACAGGCTAAAGGATGGGTTTGATTGGGATAGAAAGTCTTACCATCAATTCCCATGACTGAAACCTGAGAAGGTGGCTGGGTTTTCAATAGGACCCTGAGTTACTTCCCTTAATTTATCATAATTAACTACCTTCTGGGCTGCACTTTGCATGCCCGCTAGGAGGCACTGTAAGCACTTGGTCCCGGCGGTGGCAGCCATCTTGACCAGTTTGATAATTCCAATTAGGATCGGCCTCGGGGACCGCCGCCGCACCTACTGGCATCTGATTGTCTGTGAGATGTACCTGATCAGTGTGCACCCAGGCCACCGTAAGAATGCGGTCACGCTCATCTGGAGTAAGGGTGGAGGACAGAATTTCATAGGTATCATGCCAGGTGAGGTCGTAAGCCTGGGTGAGGTAGCGGAATTCTTTGGTGTAAGCAGTAGGATTGGTGGAAAATGACCGTAGGCGCTTCTCAATGGCTGATAGGTCAGAGAGGGAAAAGGGAACATGTACTTGAACAAGGCCTTCGGCGACCTTGCAAAGGTGGCAAAGGAGGGAGGTTTCATCGTTAGGAGCACAGCGCGAGCAAGTGTGAGCAGTAACAGGAGAGGCTAGGTTGGGACCAGGAAGAGGAGGAGCTGGAGGGTGTTGAGGTTCTGCATAGGGCGGAGGATTAGTGGGTTGGGCGGGTGGAAAGGAGAGTTCTTCGGGCGGGTCAGGGTCAGAAAAGGAGGAGGATGGTGGAGGGGCCGAGGGTGGTGAGGGAGTTTCTTTGGCCAGGCACACCTGAGCGGTGGTGCAAGAGGAGCAGAGGGTGGGACGGGAGTGAAGATAACAAAAGGCCTGAATGTAGGGGACCTCCGACCATTTACCATTTCTTTGACAAAAATTGTCTAAATCAGTTAGAATGCCAAGATTGAAAATTCCCTCCGGTGACCACTTGGACTGGTTGTCCAGAGGATACTGGGGCCAGGCCACAGTGGAGAGGAAAAGCAGCCTTTTCTTTTTTATGGAGAGGCCCAGCTTGGGTAAATTTTGGACTAGACATCCCAATGGCAACTTCGGGTCTAGGCGGGACTCCTAATTACCCATAGTTCCCTCTCTATTGTGGGATAGTCAGGAGTGAGGAACGGTGTCCCGGACCTCAACGCCCGACTACCGGAGGTTACGGGGAAGGACAGGAGTATAGGGACGTCTTCACAATATTCCTGTCATCCAGAACGGGCAAGCAGGGGCACCAGGATGTCTACATGAGGCCCACAGCTCGAGACAGGAAGGAGTCCCTGATGTGGCCGTGATTACAGACAGGGTCTCCTCGGATCGGAGCAAGCAGAGGATGGGGTTATGGGCAATAGGAGTCTTACTGGGTGATGGCTGCAGACGATCGGAGGGGCAGCAGCTCCCTGGTTCGGCTTATGGTAGAGGAGTCAGTTTCCCCCAGGAGGGGTCTTGAACTCCTCTCGGGTTACGGCACCACTTGTAAGGGTTATTGCTGAATTTAAAATGAAGAAACTGAGGCCAGTATAAGAAAATTAAATGCCAATTTATTTAGCTCCCAGGTGAGGTTCTATGGTCTGGAGAAAGGGGCCAGAGAAGTCTCACTGACTTCCTGGGGCGGGGGGTTTTTATGGCTAGGAGGAATGAGCAACAGCTGGGTGCTCTGATTGGGTCCAGGGGAGCGGGATTGAGACAGGGCGGGCCACTATTGGTTGGCGGGTTATTGGGTGGGTTTTCCGGTACTAAAGCTGGCCAGGGTTGCATGAGCCGGAGCCTTCCAGGGGAGCCATGTGGCAGAGCTAGGTGCCAAGTGCAGAGCCTGGTGCCAGGTGCAGAGTCAGGTGCTGAGTGCAGAGGTAGGTGTGTCCAGCCTCCCGGTGAAACTGGCCTTACAGTATTTATCTTGCATGATTATGCTGAAAATTGTATATAACACATGTAAAACACATAGTGTAGTACCCAACACTTACTAACTATTCAATAAGTAGTATCTGTGATGAGTATTCTCTGCTGTATCTCCAATTGTGTTATCCAAATAGTATATTCATAAAGGGCCTGTGTCTGAAACAGAAGTTCATCTTAAATTCCCTGAGTCTTAAACCCTATTTACTTACCCCACCAAGGTTCTAAATACAGCTATGCAACACTGACCTAGATATCCTGGATTTGGGATAATATATATGCAATTTGATCTGTAATGATAAGAGAGGAAGTCTCTCCTTTTCAAACTTTCTACAAAACTATCACAGTGCAATAAACTATAGCTTTCAATAAATTCTGGAGAACATCAGTCTCAGGTTTTCAGATTAAAGACATATTATGCTCACAAATTGACAAGGAAATTGTTCATTCCGTAAGTATTTGAACACCTGTTTAAATGCTAGGCACTGTTTATAATGCTGGGGATATATCTGTAAGCAAAACAGACAAAACCCTTGTCCTCCTGGAGTTTACATGGTACTAGGAGAAGACAAACAATTATAAAATTAACAAAATAAAAAAGTGATATTTTTAGAAGGTAGCAAGTGATATGAAAAAGCATAGTAAGGAAATGGGAGTATTGATAGGAGAGGGCTGTTGTCATTTAAAATACCATGATTATGAAGGAAATCATTATACTCTAAATGTTCCAAACTTAGATTGTGATGGTGGTTACACAACTCTGTCTGTAGCCCGCAGACTAATGCCACTCTTTTTACCCCAGATGTCCACTTTTTAATTCCCAGAAACTATGAATATGGTATGTTAAATGGCAAGGAGAAATTGAGGTTGCAAATGAAATGAAGGTTGTTAAACAGCTGATCATAAAACATAGAGATTATCTGTGTGGGCCCAGTATAATCACAAGTGTCTTTAAATGAGGAAGAGAAAAGCAGAAGAGTCAGAATCAGCGAAGTGGCATCAAGGCAAAGAGTCTACCAGCCATTGCTATCTTTGAAGATGGAAGAAGGGGGCCATGAGACAAAGAATATGAGCAGCCTCTAGGAGTCAGAAAAGTCAAGAGACTGGATTGTACCCTGGAGCCTCCAGAAAGGCACTCAACCTGATCAACATGTTAACATTAGTTCAATGAGACAGCTTTTGGAATTTTGACCTTAGAATTGTGAGATAATAAATGTATATTTTTTTAATCTACAAAAATTATGTTAATTTGTTATAGTAGCCACTGGAAAGGAAATAAATACACTGTGTATACACTAAAATCCACTCTGTGCTGTATATTTTCAGTTGGTGAATTTAGTGGAATGAAAACTATATCTTAACAAAGCTCTATTTTAAAAGTAGGGTGGTTATGATAGAAGAATTGAGAAGCAGCAGGTGGGTTAGTATCTTTTAGATGAAGGCATTGAAGCTTGCACAAGTTCTGACAAAGTCAATCATCCTGATTGCTCTTAATGAACACCCACATGCAAAGATGAGAAAGAACCAATGCAAGAACACTGGTAACTCAAATGGCCAGAGTGACAACTGACTGCACCAGTTCTTCAACAAGAGTTTTTAACCAGGTTGAGCTGGCTAAAATGACAGAAATAGAATTCAGAGTATGGGTAGAAGCAAACATTGTTGAGATTCAGGAAAACAGAGAAACCCAATCCAGGGAAACTAAGAATCAAAATAAAATGAAAGATACAGGAGCTGAAGGGTGAAATAATCACTATAAAAAAGAACCTAATGGAACTAACAAAGCTGAGCTGTCAAGAATGCATGAATTTCACAATGCAATCATAAGTATTAACAGAAAACAAATCAAGCTGAGGAAAGAATCTCAGTACATGAAGACTGGCTCTCTGAAATAAGATAGTCAGATACAATTTTTTTAAAAAAAGAATAAAAATAAATAAAAGCTCCAAGAAATATGGGATTATGTAAAGAGGCCAAATCTATGAATCATTGATATTTTAGGAAAGGAGAGGAGAAAGCAAACATCTTGGAAGACATACTTCAGCATATCATCCGTGAGAATTTCCCCAACCTTTCTAGAGAGGCCAACAGTCAAATTCAGGAAATACAGAGAACTCCTGCAACATTCTACACAAGAAGATCATCCCCAATACATATAATCGTCAGATTTTCCAAGGTCCAAATTAAAGAATATTAAAGGCAGCTAGACTGAAAGGGTAGGTTACCAACAAAAGGAAGCCCATCAGGCTACCAGTGACCCTCTCAGCCGAAACCCTATAAGGCAGAAGAGATTGGAGGACTATATTTAGAAATTTTAGAGAAAAAAAAATCACTAGCTGAATATTTTATATTCAACCAAACTAAGCTTCTAAAGAAGAGAAATAAGATTCTTTTAGAAAAGCAAATGTTAAGGGAGTTTGATCCCAGAAGACTTGCCTTACAAGAGATCTTGAAAGGAACACTAAATATAGAAAGGAAAGACCACTACCAGCTAATATAAAACAAAAGAAAACACTTAAATACACAGATCAGTGGCACTATAAAGCAACTATACAAGCAAACCAGCATAATAACCAGCTAACAACAGAAAGGCAGGGTCAAATCCACACTTGACAAGCTAACCTT